AGTGACATAACCTGTCACAAGAAGCTTGAAATAAAAATTAATTTCTTCTACACGGGTGCTTACGTCATTGAAAAGAGAAAAATAATCTTTATCAAATGAGCCTAATGAAAGTGTGCATTGCTATTTAAAAAAATTCAACTGTTTTTCGTTATTCATTTGTTTTCAGAAATAAAAACAACTTTCATATAGAAAAATGTGGTATACAGTCGATATTTACCAAGATATATACTATATTCCATACATAATGAGCACCCTGCATTTTTTTTACCTTGACTACCCCCAATGCTTAGTATCCAAGGGTGACTACTACCAGATTGTTGTTGTTTGTGCCCGTCCAGAGTCTATAATTATTGTCGATTATTGTACAATTACCTTATCAGGTAAGAGTAAATCACAGAGTACACGCGTGGCCGGCGATAGCCAGAGATAGCGGAGCTTGTTTATACGTACATACCTACCTCTGTATAGATTTGAATACACCATAAAACATTGATAGGACATTGATGAGTTTAGAAACCCTACCATTTGAACTTTCTAGTGTTCTCCTAAAGGGACCCTACAACTTTTTTTGGAGATGTTGAGACTTTTTGTTCATTTCATCCACGTGCCTCTAATTTCAAAACTTGAGTGTAAAATCTATCACTTTTAAGTGTTTTGATCATATAATTAATCAACGTAGATATTCGAATCTTATCTAAGTTGTATCCTTCACCTGTAGGTATAAATTCGGCGATTGAGACTATACCGTTTAATTATTCTGAAACATGTATTTCAAAATTCTGTTAGCTACCGTTCTTGTGTGCCACGTCGTCGCCGGTAAGTTTGCTCAATTTGTTTGAATCCGACATGGCATAATTGATAACGATAAACAGAGAGAAGAGCATGCTACTATTGCAACAGTACGAATCCCTACTGCAAAGAACTCCAGTCCGCCACCTCATCGACCACGAATTGCGATACCGACTGTATTATGTACGTTAATACCTCTGACAGACGTACTGTAAGGGGTTGCGCTGTAACTGGAGGATGTAGCGCCATTCCAAACCAACGTGATTGTCTGAATTGTCCCGGAGATAGGTGTAACGACGCGGCTTTGTATTAGAATGACTGTCGGATGTTTTTATGGAAAAACATTTAAGTTTGTAAATTATGGACAAATAAAATCGAAACTATGTGTACATCCCTTAAATTACCTACTTGATAAAACCCCCACCTCTGCCACACTGTATTCAAAACCAGAACCCTTTCCAACATCATTTGAATACAAAGAACCTCAAACAGTTATGGAATTTATGACATTTTCAATGTTGTTTTTTGTTTCCACCATTTTGTTTCGCAGTACCATCTTGTCTTCGGTTAAATTTAGGTTTTCAATAACTTGCACCCCACGTCAGCTTCTAGAGCTGTTTAAAAGCGGCTATCTTTGGTAAAGGTGCTTTTCAAAACAATAGAAACTATTTCAGCCGCCATCTTAAATTTTTTTGGATTCAACATTTTTGATAAAGTACTATAATAAGTGGAAAAACGTATGTGCTACCAAAAAATCTTGATAATATTTTTGTTTTCAACAAGTAAAAAATGTTAAAGTGAATTGTAGTCGCCATTTTGACCGCCATCTTGATTTGAGGCCTTATCAGCCGGAATTACAGGTGGTGACAAAATCGGATTCATGCTCCTACTCGTATAACGTTTGTTTGCCCTCCCCAGAATTCGCAAGGCGGACTGCCGCGTGCACAGCAGTGTGGGGTTCTGGACCATTGGCCCTACCCACCTGGGTTTCTGGTTTTTTAAAATACGCCATTTCCATTGTAAAGGTGTTGAAACTGCGCTTCCTGGGGAAAGATTCGGTGGTAGTTTCCCGTGACCTTTCACCTATTAATTATAAACAAATTAAATAAACTATGCTCTGTCTCTCAAACCGCCAGAGCGTTCTTAATTTTCTTACAGATGGTGGAACCCTAAAACAACCCTTTTTTTAAATTCCAGTCCGTCGATTTGCAAGAATCATGTTCCAAACAAGTTGTTTTAAATCTCCACTGCGATACACATGACAATTTGCGAAATATTGCACGAAGTGACAATGTTCCCATTCGCAATCGTACGATTCACTGACCGCCACTCGGAACTTTTAATACTCAATTAACTTAAGGGATCAAGTAAGGTGGCGATGAAGCGTGAAAGGTATAAAAATTCTTAGCGAAACTTTTCAAGAGAAAGATATACAAAGTTTCGCAGAAATTTTCCGCCCCAGATCCCGTGTATTCGAAACGGATATCTTTTGTATATCGTTAAAAATCGTTTAGGTAGTGCATTTGAATGGCTCGCACTACACGAAAGCACTTGCTACGAAAGGCCACTGGTCGTAAACATTCTATTCGTATAACAGTTTAATAACGTCATTAAATATCGTGTTGCATGTCATTTATTGTAATACAGAAAATTGGGGTGGTAGTATAATAAACCCTAATTAAAACTTTACTTGGACTTTTCTTCTGTTTTATATGTTGTGACATTCTTGTGTAGCGAAGATGGTTAAGTCAATATAGGACGCCCAATCTCTAGTCCCTGTCCGTGACTTCAGCTCATAGAACATCTCTGGTTTCATAGCTTACGTATTGGAATTGCGCTACATTCAAACAGTATCTATCTCTCTTATTTCTGATTTAAGTAAATTCACTCTTAAAAGCATCCCCTGCATGAAGAATTATGCAAGGGAAATAATTAAACGTGTCCATAAAACGCTTGTGGTCAACCCTTTTTGACAATATCATTTTTTACAGATCGTGGCCTGGATATGGATGAGCGCGGGAATGATCGACGAAGAAGAAGTGTGACTGCGCAGTGTTTCGTCTCTACGAACTCCAATGGGGCTCTCCTGGCAAGATCGAAATAATAAGGCTAAGGGTAAATTCTTGCTTTTTCATTAGAGCATAATAAGTAAAAAAATAATCTCATCTACTGATACCCTCCAGAAAAAAAAACGCATTGATTTCTCTAACAGCACTCTACAATATCTACAATAAATTTTCCGTATTTGTCCTCAGTTGTATTAACGTAATACCTTTAATATGCCTTTGCAAAAAATCCATAGTTGTGTTACGGTCTAACACCTAGTAGTAAATCACAAACTTACCTCATATTTGGTAACGTATCAGGAAGAGAGCAAGAGCAATTAAAACACGATGTTCTAAATTTTAAACACATACTGCCGATTTTAAAAAGTATAAACATACGGAAACCCCAGGAAATAAATACAATTTACCAACTTGTTTTTTTTTTAAATATAAATTTGTTTCTTTGTTCCAGATTCTAGAAGGGCAGCCTTATCAAGGTAGGATTTTTCCTTTTCCGCATGATCTAATTGCTTTTCTATTATGTGGGTCTAGCAGTGGGGGACGGGGGGAGTGAATAGTGCATATCAACGACAGTTGATCTTCAGATTGTGTAATTGTAAGTGAGTTGTGATCTGGCATTTTGGTGACGTAAATTTGATCGCAATACTTTTCACAACAATCTTTTTCGGGGCATCAATATTCAAGTATGACTATGAATTCATAGCCATGCCGGTTTCATGCTGTAAACGGATTTGCTTTGCGAATCGGATTATGAAAAATTATTGGAGTCAATTTTCCCGTTTCCAATCTGCTATCCTTTACATCTCACTTATTACATTGAAGATCCTCTGAATGACTGAAGGTGAGTAATTAAGTCATTATCTACCTGTCCGTTTATTAGTAAGTACAAATTATTGACGTTTGTGAGATGAAAGATAAGTTTACATTATAATTAGAGAGAGACGAAAGATGATTTGTACTGTAATAATCAAACACGCTGTACACAGTTAGTTCTAAGAAGCGTGGTTGGTCTGCTAATCTCGTTGATTGTTCACAGCGGATGCTCAGCCAGCACCAAGTCATGAGGACTGTTTCAACACCTGCATCCTGCAATGAATCGGATCGAATCTAAGGTTCCTACAGAGCAGGTGAGTGAATTTGTACTAAATTAAATAATTAAAATTTTGACTTTGCCGGGACTTTTTTCATAATTCCTATTTGCACACATTTTGGGAAGTATGGGACTTATTCTAAAAGAAATACTGGATTGGGTAGTTCTAAGAATATTTTAATTTAACTGAATTCAAAACACTTTTTATTTGAAAATACTTGTTTTCAGTGTACCTGTGGCCCGTGAACGTAAACGAGCAGCACGTGTTTCGTCCCCCTCGTGATTAGTGGAGCACCCTAGGAGAGACCGAATTAATAAGGCTAAGGGTAAGTTTTAACCTTCAAAAGGGTCACATTCAGAGAACCCAAATGGCGAATGCGTGATCGGCTTTTTTTTAACTAAATATTTTGGCCAATTTTTAATAAATATTATCTAAGCGATCGCTTGCGTACTTTTTTAACGTAATTGTATTTTTTGTTTCAGATCCGAGAAGGACAGCCTTATAAAGGTAGGATTTTTCTTTTTTTTGTGCATGCTCTATTGCATTTGTATTATGTATATGTAACAGTGGGGGAAAGTGAATAGTGTACAGTGACTGAATGAAGATCATCGTTTAAACACTTCTTCGAATGTGGTACTAAATGAATTGTGTCCATACTCTAAGCATCTTGGTGATGTGAATTGATCGCAATTATTCTTGGAGTAACTTTTGGTACATAAAAGGGAAAGAAACTATTGCAGCCAATTCTTGCGTACCCTAGATGCTTTGAAGATGGCCATAACTCATTTATTAGACCAAAGGCTGGTTTTTCACGTTTCAGTTGAACTTTTCCAACAGTTGATGATTCTCATGTAAAAAAAGAGTTCTATTGGATCAGTTTAACTGAAACATGTAAAACCGGCTCTGAGATCAAGAAGGTAAGTGATTTGAGACATGACAGCTTATTCGGTTGTTTTTCTCATCCAAATTTTAATTAAATTAAATTAAATTAATGCACGAATAAGACTTAAGTGTCTCTTTGAAGGGACATGTTCAGGTTAGTCTATTAATCTTATTTTCTCCAATTGTTCGCAGTTCCAGTGGCGGACCTACTGCAAAAGGAGACGTGCACCTATATCTACGCTCGTGAGGATATTCTCGACAGCTTCAGATGATGGATCGATCATCCGTTCCAAATTCCCTTCGATGTTATCGATCTGGGCTCAGCTCAAATACGCGAGGTAGGCACGCCACTGTCTTTTAAATAAATCAATTTAAACTTTTCGTTAATATGCGTCTAGAACAAATCTTTTCCATGACATAATGTAAAATGCCTCTACCTTATTGGGCGACCATAAGCAATAAGAAAGTAGTAGCTTCTACATCTAGGATGCTATGAAAATTCTGATAACAGATTCTTGAGTAATTTTTGTGTGCCATGAGTCACTTTACTTCATATAAAAGAAAAAAGAACGATGGCAGTCAATTCTTGCTTACCATATGTGTAACTTTGAAGATGGTCTTAACTCATTTATTAGACCAAAGGTCGGTTTTTCTTGTCTCAGTTAAACTTCTCCGACAGTTGATTTCTATCTATCGGATAAATTTAACTAAAACATGAAAGATCGGCTCTAAAATCAGGAAGGTAAGCGATTGAATAATGATAGGTTTTTTTTTTATTAATCACTTTATTAATCTAAATGCTACACTGATCAGATAAACAGTAAATGTTTACAGTAATCAAATCCTTATACGAATAATGGTGCGTTTTCACGCTCATGCAATTTGCGCAAACTAACTTGTACATGCCAATTTGTGCAAGTAAATTGGTGCATGAAAACGAAAATTGTTTACTTGCGCAAGCCAGAAAATTTGGCATGAGTAAAATCTGGATGGTCAGATATTTTGCAAGTGGTTGGTGCAAATGCATGAACGTGTAAACGACACACCAATTCGACGAGTGAATAATAGCACAGTAAATCTGTGATAATAGTAAACAGAATTTTTTGTTCCGACGTACACGTGGCTTTAATAGACTGTGTTGTACGTTATTGTGTGTTTTGTTTGTGATAATAATGTCAAAGAAAGAAAAAGAGTTCATGGTAAAGTTTAATGAGCTTTATAAATCCTTTCCTTGTCTTCTGCGATCTTCTTTTTTTTGTCTTTTGGCACTTTTAACTTTTTAATTAAACAAACACCAGCGAATGCTATTAATTCCTCTTCGTAGTCCATCGTTTACAATGACAATTTGAACTGTACTGTACACAAATTTGTGCACCAAACTTGAACCGTGAAAATGGATGCATGAGTTCAGTGTATTTGCACAAATTCGCATGCACTAGTCAATTTGCGCAAATTGCATGAGCGTGAAAACGCACCTTAAGACTTGCATATCATTTGAAGGAATATGTTCAGGTTAGTCTACTAATCTCCCTTTCTCCGATTGTTCGCAGTGCCAGTGGCGGACCTACTGCATAACGGAACGCGAACCTGTATCTACACTCGTGAGGATTTTCTCAGCAACCCCTGTGATGGATCCACCATCGCATCCAAGTTCCCTTCGATCGTATTGATTAATCGCATGGACACAGTTCAAACAAACGAGGTAGGTACGCCACTGTTAACATACACCGATTTGAACACTTTAATATGCGTCTGTAGAACATGACGTGCGTTGAAGATACGAGGGTCACCTCAATATCTCTTTTATTTAGCGAAAAATTTGTCAAATATAATTTTATATGTGACATTACGATCTATCTGATCGCGTATTCAAACTTGCGGTATTACGTCCGGTTTAACCAGAAATCGATGCAACTTTTGTTTTTCAAATACAATTCCTATGTTTTTTACGATATAAAAACAGCAATCAATTTTCTGTATGGCAACATAAAAATATACGCATATGGTTGACATATAAAAAAAAATGGAGAAATTCGTGTTCTTTTTTCTTACGTCACGATCGAATCTGTGTTTAAGTACAGGGAGTGCGCAAACAAGGGTTAAGAAGGATAGGGAACAAATAATGAATCATCATGACCTCTAGCGGTAGAATAAAGAACTAAGGAAAAAAAACTACAGCGAACTTGCACGAGAAATACACAGATGGCGTAACGTTTACTAAATTTAAAAAAAACATTGCAAAAATCAACGGTAAAGGAAGGATGGTGAAGAAACTGAAGAAAATGAAAAACTTCCAGATAGTCTAATAAGTTTCGAGAGCCGAGGAAGCTAAGGTATCCGCAGAAGAAGCTAGGGGCGATAGGGTAAAGGGTCATTTAAGTTGTGGATTTTCGAACTACCTATTTAGGGCAGCATTGTACGCAAAAAATTTACGTTTGGTAGAATTAATCAGTCGAGGAAAACTGCGGAACGTTGCTGGATCGGAAAATGTTAATTTTACTGAAATATTTATTGATTTAGTATTATTCAAATGAGTAATTATGTACTTTAATTAAATCGCATCATTTTGAATAAGCATAGCATTTGCACGTCTATACAGGGTGGCTAGAAAGTAATGGGACAAGGCTCTCGTGCTGAAACGGCTTGAGGTATTGATTTCGAGTTTGGAGTGCTTCATTGAGACATTGTTATGCCTGTTTCGGAATGAAAAAGAAATGTCGTCACTGCCCAATTTTGAGGGCGGCCGCCATCTTGAATTTTGTTAAATGACAACATGGATCATGCGACACAACATTGGGTGGCATCTTGTTTTTTCTTTCTAGTGATTAACTCCTTTTTTGAAAAATGAAAAAAATTAAATTTATTATCTGATGTACACTGAAGAAGCATTGTCACGCATATTTCGGAATGAAAAAGAAATTTAACTAACCAATGTTGTCATTTAAAAAAATTCAAGATGGCGGTCGCCTTCAAAATTTGAGTAATAAAGCAACAGGGGGGGATATTAGTTTTAAAGGAATATAAGAAGTACTCGTATGTTACCAGTGTGAGTCCGTGTACCGAAAAACCAATTAAAAGTAACTATGAGCATGATTAAACGACTAGGGGGCGGTTGGGAATCTATTGTGTATAGGAAAACGAGGAAAGTCCAGAGACCCGAACAAAGGAAGATGTCAAGCGATTGTGAAGCCCGTATTAGGCCTCTGGTCTTTTCAAATTGGCGTAGTATTACCGACGAAAGAAGTAGAAGAGGATGAAGAATCAAGTCCGGAATCGAAAGGGGCTGATGAAGTATATGAAAGTGAAGAAGGCGATGGTGTTTAGAGATTCGAGAAAGTGAAAAAGTCAAGGAAATGTCGGAGTCGAGGTGTAGCTGTAGATATCCAGGAAGCCTAGGAGCAGGAAGAAGGCAAGGAATTGAAGGGTCCCAGGGAGCTAACAATGTTGACGTAACTGTCTTAGAAGCAGTTCTCGGAACTTTGGTAGAAATCTCTCTAAAAACATATTGGTTTTCATTTATGCAACATTTTTCGTTATTATCCTCAAAGCCATGGTACTTCACAATTTATGCTCTGTCATCCCTCGTCTGTTGAGGGTAAAAAAACCCAAAACGAGAAAGTTTAGACGTTCGACCACAATAAAAAATTGAGATTATACTGTAGGTGGACACGTTGCAGGCCCAAAAAGCAAATTTATTAAGATGAATTACAACAAAAATTGAATTAGTGGTGGTACGCTAAATTGATTTTGTTAATTAATTTAATTAGTGAGGAAGATTTGCAAATTTTATTGATGATGTATCGTAATAAGTAATCTATACGGATAGGCCATGATTTTCTCGAGATTTGTAACAAGTTTCTTTTCTTATATTACCGCGACAATTTAGACAATATAAGAGCACGCCGCAGCTTGCGGATTTAAACAATTGTCGCGAACGAACGCGTTAAGTACGCGAAGATTATTCAAAACAAAGTGTAATATAGCTGTTTACAGTACGTATGGAGCACACTAGAATCAAGCTGATTACATTAGAATCAGAAATTGTAGCTGAGGAACTAATCCCAAACGCAAATAAGGGCAATTTGGAAAGGCAATTAGAATACAGTTGAAAGTTATGGCGAGGTAAACACATACGTAATGATTAGCCCACAATAAGACAGCCAGACTCTGATTAGCTTTTCTGTAAATTACGTAATACCTTGTAGGAGAAACCGCAAAATTTACGTTATTACTACTATTTTATCCAAATTTAACCCGTTGCGCTCTTGCCGTTAGCTTTTCCCTTCTCGTATATATTTAAATATTTCGAATAAATTGAAAGGAACTTTGTTAGCTTTACGTACATTGATACAGTTCAACATCAATCGTCGAAATGAAAATAGATTTCAACTCCCGACGGACATTTTGATACTTTTTTCCTCCTTATTTACATTTCATTTATTTTAATTCCGAGGCGATCCCGGTTTTTGGCAGGTTGCTCGAGGAGTTAAGGGCGGGCGTAGTTTGCGTAACTAATTATTTCATAAACCGGCAACCAAGCAAAGGAATAATGGGTTTTGTTTTCATTTTAAATGGATTAGTTAACGGAATTTAATGTGCGAGGAATAAGGTTTGTTCAAATTTGTACAGTTTCTTAGTAATTTTGCATAATGTTCCCGAGAACAGCGGCAAAGGTTGAATTAATTTCGAAGCGCCGTAGTTGTCGTACACAAAGCAAACGTCTTCGTCGCCGCCGTGTACGAAACTCGAGTGTACACACTCAAGTAGGCCTAGATATCGACTTACTAACTGCTTTGAGCAATCTAGCGAACGACAACGCAAGAGCATGTGTGAATAATGCAAGGAACGGGTCGCCGAGGGGATTTTACTTTCTCCCAACCCCTAACGGAAAGATTCCGAAGGTCCGTACCTAGTTATTGACGTACCAGAACTAAAGCCCTGTCTGTCAAATTGCGGCAAGTGACGACGGCTAGGTCTAGGTACGCTGCAAGTTATTTTTTATTCCAATTGAAACTGTCACAAATGATTGAAGGGTACGGATCGATCCTCGACGCCGGCAATTTTCGGGCGAGCTACCGACATTTTCGTTTTCCCTTCCGATAATATAATATGCATTACGCCATAAACCCTTCACGTAAAAGCTCTCAACAAAAACCGATTAGCTATAACAACAAAATTACCTAAAAACCTCCATTATAAATCATGCCCGTTTAGTAAATCGTGTTAGACGCACGCGTGTGAGCTTTTAACTGATAAAGTACTGCATACTGATGCATTCTGCTTAAAAATCTATCTCCCCCGTTCGCGATCTAATGAAACAGCAGCAGGTGCCTCACGCCCCGTTTTTGAGATTCGCAATTGCCACATTCCTTTATCGGGGTTTCCAGCTTTTTTCTTTCAATTTTATTTATAGTCTATATAGATGCCAGTGGTTTAGCTCTTAACAGCATCTGCTACACTTTAAAGCTACAAGATTCCAAATAAATTTGTGGCTAATGCAGTATTGCGACCACTTTTATTGTGGAACATTCAAAACAATATCCGTATTTTATCTCCATCATTTTAAGCAATTGTAAAGCCTCCCTTTTACTCTTTAATCTTTTCAGATTGATCGCTAAACGATTCCTTCCCTTTTTTACTTTTTAAACCTTTAGGGTATCGCATTCAACAGTTGCTTCCTATACACTTGTTACGTCCTAAGGTTTGATACCATACAGATTAGTTACATCAAAATATCCGCAACTGGTATTGACTTCATTCGATCCAACGGTACTATAAGTCCTTGTCTTTGGAGTAGCCCGATTGTCATGGTCAAAAAAAGGACGGGTAATGGAGATTATTTCGTCCAGCTCAATGACGCCTACCCTTTACCGCGTGTTTCGAACAGTCTAGATCGTTTACGGGAGACCCGATTTCTAACCAGTTTTGACATAAGGTCGGCTTGGTCCAATGAAAAGGCAAGGTCTGTGCCAGTTATTGTTTCGTCGAAAGCGAGAGGGGTCAATTGAGAATGACATACGAGATGTTTGATGCCACAGAATGATTGTGCAAGTGCAAAGACTAATTACCACCCCTTATTAACAGTTGTACGAACGGATAGCGTCATAGAAATAGTAAGGCAAGAACATCAATTTAAGTTAAATAACGCGCCGCCGCGCCGTATTCCATTTAAATTTACATATTTTTTATTATGTTATAAAAATACGGTCTGTTTTCCCAAGTTCAGCGAGTTCTCGTAGTTTTTTGCGGCAAGTATCGAATAAAACTTCATATCGAGTGGTGTTTAGCAATTTAAAAATGTCGTTTAAAGAGAGAGGTCACCGCCGTCTCTCCACGCCCGGCCAGATCGTCGATAATCCACTTGAATTATAATAGAAATATTTCTTATCACTATAGAAATACGGGTACCGTTTTAGATCCTCGATAACCGCATTTTTTCGCATTAAATCTACAACTTATTTATTTTCACGTCACGTTTCCATTCGTATAAGCTGTCCCCGTTGGGATGCAGCCGGAGATATTACAAGCTTAAATTTCGACTTTATGCAGTTTGTAATGTAAATTTAACAATTAAAGTGAGGGACACGCCCGATATCGTGCATTTGGCGTGTTACTTTGATACAACTAACTTATACGGTGTGCCAATTTTAAAACTGCCTCGGTCACAGTTTATCGCCACTTAAATGTTTATTTTTACGTATC